GGGCCGCGCGCACCCAGGCGCCGCCGCAGCCGCTCGCCCCGCGACGGGTCGCGCATGGTGGCGAACACTGCGGGGAGGGAGGGAGGGCAGGGAACGGGGCTCCCGCAGCTCCATCCCCGCCCCGCCGCTGTCCTGCCCCCTCTCCGGACCCCGGCCTGGCCACGTTACCTTTAAACCTCTGCTCGGCGTCGGCGGCGAGGCGCGCGGCCAGCGCCAGCCCGATGCCCGAGGAGCAGCCCGTGATGAGCACCGTGGTGCGCTCCATGGCGGCGCCGCGGCCCGCGGGCGCCCGCGCGCTTAAAAGGGCTGCCCGGGGCGTCCCCCTCCCTCGTGTTTTGTCTCGCGTCTTATCGGGCAGCCTGGAGGCTCTCGCAGCTGCGAGATAAGGGCCGCGCGGGGCCAGGACCCCGGCGCGCGGGAGGGGGCGGCCCCGGCTGGGGCGGTGGGTGCCAAGGCCGGCGCTGGCAGCCCCTGCTCTGGCTCCGGCATTCGCAGGCGCAGGGGATGCAGGTGCCGGGAGCCCGATGCACTCGGGGCCTTTAATAGCGCTGCAGGGCCCGGAGCGCTGCCTGGCTGGGCCGACGCATGGACAAGCCTGGGGAAAGGCACGGGAAAGCCCTGGGATGCGGAGCAGGGCCCGTTAACAAAAGTCAGTAACGTCTCTCCTGTACAAAAGGCGCAAGGGCAGCCGGGGCCCCAAGGATCCTGGGTCCCCAGCCCGGCAGAGGGGGGCACTGCGAGAGTCCTGCGGGCACCGTGCGGCCAAGGGAGCCCCGTGCATTGGAGGGAACTGGCCTCCCCCTCGTGTGGCCACGACCTCTGCGCCAGGCAGGCTGGTCCCGGGGGCACACGGCCCCACATGGGATGTCCCTGGGCACAGCCAGCCCCATGGCTGGCCCCCTGCCTGCCTGCGCGGAGGAAACGTCCGGGTGCAGCTCTGGGCCTTCATTCCGGCTCTCCCGGGACGCAGGGATCAGGCCGGGGCTGCGGCTGCCTCGGCACGCGACAACACAGGGTCCCTGCCCCTCGGGGAGGCTCCGGCGGCAGCTCCGTCACACAGGCCCGGCCCGGCGCACGGCCCTGGGGTAGTATTTGAGGAAGATCTTCCTGGCGATCTCCAGCGTGTCCCCCGCGGGCACCGCCGGGTAGCGCTTCCCGTTGTAGACGAAGCCTCGCTCCACCTGGAAGACGGCCTGGTTGAACTGCTCCTGGTGGAAGGGGGTGCCCGAGTTGAGGCTCTCCACGAGCGCAGAGACGAAGAGGCTCCAGCGCACGCCGTAGTAGTCGAGCACCAGCCCGCCCAGCTGCTTGTTGGCGTAGTCCAGGATGTTGCCGCTGGGCCCCCACAGCGTCAGCTGGTTGCGCGCGTTGAGCTCGTACTGCTCGGCCTCCCTGTCGCTGGTGGCGGCGGCGCGGGCGGCCTCCAGCTGGAGGCCCAGCAGGAAGAGGCGCTGGCTGCCCAGGAGGCCGTCGAGCTCGGGCAGCAGGTCGTAGAGCAGGACGCCGCCGGCCGCCAGCAGCTCGGGCAGCGCGCGCCGCTCGAAGGCCTCGCGGATCAGCACGTAGTAGTCGCCGACGAGCTGCTGGGCCGCCTGGCGCGTCACGTCGGCCACGTCGTAGCGGAAGGTGCCGCTGGCGCCCAGCTCGCCCGCGGCGCTCAGCAGCAGCCGCCAGGCCTCGTAGACGTCGCTGCGGTTGTACCAGAGCGCCGTGTCCATGCGCAGCGAGGGCCGCCGCACGAGCGGGCTGCGGTTGTGGTTGACGCAGGGGCCGGTGCAGTTGTAGACGCTGCGCAGCAGCAGGCGCCAGGCGCGGGCGGCCGCGGTGCTGGCGGTGCCGTAGCGGCGCTCGGCGTAGCGTGTCACCCAGCTCGCCAGCTCGAGGGGCTCGTGGCGCCAGCCCAGCTCGTTCATCAGCTCGTACACCACGTCGTTCTGCTCGATGCCCTCGGGCGCCAGCCCGGTGCCCACCATGGTGGAGTTGGGGAAGCGCCGCGCCGCGAAGGGGCCGCTGTTGAGGGCCTCCACGGCGCCGAAGAGGCCGTGGTTGCCGCCGAAGTTGTGCAGCATGCACCAGATGAAGGGCTGCCCGTAGAAGGACTCCGTCCACGGGTACACGGGCTTGGACTCGGCAAAGAGGTCGAGCACAATCATCCTGCCGAGGGGCACGGCGCGCAGCAGCGCCCGCGCCTGCGCGGGCTGCCAGAAATCGGGCTGGTGTTGGAAGAGCCAGCCCTGCATGAGCCACAGCGCCTCGGGGTCGGCTGCGGACGGAGGCAGCGCCGTGAGGAGCCCGACAGCGCGGACATCCCCCAGCCCGGCCGGGCCCTGTGCCACAAACGGGCCCCTTGGCAGGGCGCGGGCGACGTCCGCAGGCTCCGTCCCGGCAGCACCAGCGGCAGCCGCTCGGCAAGCCCGGAGCCGCGCGGCGCCGACCCACCTCCGGTCATGGCCCTGAAGACAGCGCTGCTGACTGCGGCGAGGTACGCGGGCTCGGCCGAGGGCGGCGCCATCTCGTTGAAGGTGTCGGCGCTGTAGATGTGGTCCGTGCCGAACTCCTTGATGAGCTCCTTGAGGAAGAGGGTCCCGATGACCTGGAACATGGGCTCCTGCGGGTCCAGCAAGTAGGTGCATGAGTAGGCGCAGTCAAAGTGGCTCCAGGCGCCGAGGCGAGTGGCATTGACACGCGGGAACACCCTGGCAGGGGGATGAGAGTGAGAGCGCCGTGCGCAGCCCGGGCGCCGAGCGGGGTCCCGCGAGGAGCCCGGTGGCCCTTGGGGGCCGTCCCCACCTGAGGACGCCCTGGGGCACGTGGCCCGCGAACGCCGGCAGCACCGCGATCATGCCCAGCGAGCGCATCCGCTCCAGCACCCTGTACTGGGAGAGAGCGGCGGCGAGGCTGACGGCGGCGGCGGGGCCGCGGCGCGCGCGGCGGCGGCGGGGCCCGCGCCGCTACCTGCACGTAGAGCTGCTTGAGGTGCCAGGCGCGCGGCAGCGGCCCGGCCCAGCCGCGCAGGTTGCCCATGCGGTTCCAGGCCAGGAAGGCCGGCCCTGTGAAGTAGGCGTCTATCTCGGACTGGTTGAGGCCCAAGGAGAGATAAACCTGCAGTCGAGGCGGGTATGAGAGCGGCTCAGCGGCGCCCGGTGTGCACGGGGCCGGCGCGCGGCACCCGAAGCGCCCACCCGCTGCCACACGGCCTCCTGGCCCGCGAAGGCCAGCGCCAGGTTGATGCCGCTCAGCGCCATCCAGTCGAGCTCCCTCTCCCAGCGCGCCCAGTCCCACCAGGCGTACGAGTAGCTCTGGGCACAGACGTTCTGGTAGTAGCGGAACCTGGGGCAGAGCGGGGCGGGAGGCTGAGCGGCGGCCGGGGCTGCCACGGGGCCGCGCGGAGCACCCAGGGCGCTGACGGGGCCCCGGAGCATCCGCGGTGCCGGGTGCATTGGGAGCTCCCGGAGCACCCGCGGCGCCGGGCGCATCGGGGAGCTCCTGGGGCACTGATGGTGCCGGGGCTCCGGAGCATCCGCAGTGCCGGGTACATCAGGAGCTCCCGGAGCATCCGCGTTGCTGCGCGCATCGGGGCTCCCGGAGCATCCGCGGTGCTGGGTGTGTTGGGAGCTCCTGGAGCATCCGCGGTGCCGGGCGCATCGGGCGCTCCCGGAGCATCCGCGGTGCTGGGTGTGTTGGGAGCTCCTGGGGCACCGATGGGCCAGGACCTGGGAATATCCGTGATGCCAGGTGCATCGGGAGCTCCCGGAGCATCCGCGGGGCCGGGCGCATCGGGAGCCCCTGAGGCGCTGATGGTGCCCGGGCTCTGCCGGCGGCGCTGTCGGTAGCGGGCGCTTGGTGCGTCGCCGTGCCCGGAGCCGGCGCTGCCGCCGTTACCTGCCGGGGCTGACGGCGCGGAGCTCGGCCGCGAGCCGGGGCAGCGGGTCGGGCAGGCGGAGCTGCGCGCCGGACCACGACACGTGGCAGCCGCAGAAGTCGCGCAGGTAGCGGTAGAGGCCGGCGGCGGCCGCCACGCCGCTCGAGCCCACCACGGCCACGGCGGCGCCGGGCGGCGAGTGCAGCCGGTAGGTGTCGAGCCCGCCGGGCGCCAGCGCCCCGTCCACC